TGAAGAATCAAGTAAGAAATATGTGCCAAAATGCTGTATAATTGTATAAGATGATGCAAATAAGTCATATTTGTATTCTCCTTTATTATCTAGTAGTATTTTTAACCTTGGAGTTGTAAGTACAGTGGGCATAGAACAACCCATCTGACAGGTTGAGCAAATCATTAAAAGGTGAAGAATTCTAAGTGTTAAAAGATATTACTAATGTCTGTTGAAATTATTCGTTCTTTGGATTAAATAAATAATAGCAGCAACTGGAAGGGAATTATCCCCACTTACTGTTTAGTCCATATGTCTGAATTTTTTATCTGTTACTAAGCAAAATATTTATAGTCTGTTTACATTTATATCCACGTATTGGCTTCCTTTTATGTTATTAGGCGGTCAAGAAGCAGATCGAGACGGCGATCGCATTCTAAGTCTAGGAGTCGGCGACGATCCAAAAGCCCAAGACGGAGAAGATCTCATTCCAGAGAGAGAGGTAGAAGGTCAAGGAGCACATCAAAAACGAGGTATAGCAGTGGGTGAGAAGGCAGATTTTAGGGTTCCCAAGACCCCCAGTACTGTGCTACGTAGTAGTCCCAAAAGAGGTAGTTGGGGTGGGGAGCAGAGCAATAGAGCTAGACAGGAAGAAACTGTTAATATTTAGTTTGAAGAGGCTGTTATTTGTTTTCTGGTGCTTCCTTGTAAACTGAAACTTTAGCTTATCGCTGAGGGCCTAAGTAAAATTCCTTAGTAGTAAAAATTGTTGGCTGTCCTGCTGCCTTCTTTTATTTTCTCCTTTCTGTTCAACTACTTCTAAGGATTTAATGCTACCAACCATCCCTCATGGTATACCAGAGTTTAAGGCACCTAACCATACTTCATCATCATGTCTCGTTATCAGCAACTTTATAACATTTAGTAAGGATAACTATATGCCAGCCAGTCACTGAACTATACTAGAGGATCTGCTACCATAATTTGAGAGCAATGGAGAGTTAGAGCGAAGATGTATGAAAAAAAGAAACACCTTAACATTTTATTTTCATCTAAATAATACATTCAAAAACCAGTCTTTTTGTGTAGAGCCAAACACTTTTACATTAGTATGCCCCCAATCATTTATAGTTGTGAGGCATATAATTTCACAGCACTTAATTTTTTTTAGCAACTGCTCTTTATATCTTGCTGAAATATTTATCTTAATTTTCTAGAAGCAGCTCTATATTTGGCATTATTCATTTATATATTTAGTTAAATCATGTCATTAAAGTAAGTACAGCTGGGGACCCAACGTAACTTATTCTTGGTAAGCATAAAACTCAACTGGTGGGAACAGAAGATTGGGGGTAGTAGCTTTACTATCAGTGTTAAACCCGTAGTAATGGGGCTTTTAGTCCTTATGTACTGCAGAGCAAATCAAACAAGGTGGAATGATGGAACATTTATGCAATGAAATTCAGCGTTTCTTTAAGGGCTTACTGATTACTAGGAGAGGAGTGATTGATTTAATTAGAGGGGGGGAACTGTTAAATGATGATTGCCACTTGCTGTTGTTGGAAGAGATTTAATTGAGAATGAGTCTTGAGTATTAAATTCTGAAAGATTTGACTAGACTCAGTGGGGGCATGGTTTCAGGTAGAGAATGGTGTTTCTTGAAATAACAATATTTTGCTGTAATAGGAATAGAAAATGAGGTCAGAAAAATATAATGAGGCCAGTCATGGAAGGCTTTGTTGTTCACTTGATCCAGGAGGCAACTGGAATGGGTTGAAAATGGTAAACAGGAAATTAATATTTTCAGGTTTGTACTTTAAAAGATTTCTGACACAGTACAGAATCTTTATGGAAGGCATAACTCGGGGGGCCTACTAGGGGAACTATTCTAATAATCTAGGAATTAGATAGTAAAGATTTAAATGAACAGGGAACCAATGATGAAGATTGAAGAGAGAACTGATGGAACTGAGGATGACCAGAGGAGGGAAAAAAATGAAAAGGGAGTCTTGAGGAGCCTGGAGACAATTAAACCTATTGTTTACCAAACATATTTCAAGCCAACATCCTAGTTATCCTCTCACCCATAGTCTACTTTAGTCTACTGGGGAGAAAAGCTAACAAAACAGGATTTTAAAAGAAGTAATTGTACTTTCAAATATGCCACATGAAGAATTATTTCTAAAACAGTTTCCATCAGAATAACATTTATGCTTTTAAGAATGGGATTAGCTCTGATTATATTTTTGTGTTTATTGTGCTATATAAATTGACATTAGCTGGATCTTCTAATACATTTATAAATTATGTTCATTTGTTAGAGACAAAAAGAAAGAAGACAAAGAAAAGAAACGTTCAAAAACACCACCAAAAAGTTACAGCACAGCCAGACGTTCTAGAAGTGCAAGCAGGTAAGGTGGCATTGTGAATTCTTGGCAATTTTTTTTAACTTTGCTTGTAACAGTATCAGTAGGCTGTGAATATAGAGTCTTTCCCAGAACTTAAGTATTTTAGTGTTGAAAAAAGTTACATTTTGCCATTATTGAAAGTTTTTAAAAGGCAATTTGTGAAGAATAATGTAAAGTTTATATTTTTCTTTTTACTTAATATTTTATGGTCTAGAGTATATTTGAAATAACATGGAATTCAACAGAGGTGAGTTTTTATAGTTTAAGTTTTAATGGCTAAACCATACTGAGTTGTTCCATCAAATAAGTTTATTATAGTAAGTTGTATTTATTATCCACATATTAATACTGGAAACTTTTTCTATCCCTTTTAATGATTGTTGAATTAATGGAAAGCAGTGCAGGTTCTGGTTTGTGTCATTCTTAGACTATTTTTAAGCTGTTAGTGAAAATTGAAATGTTACAGACTTCACTGCACAAAAAGCACATTTTCATAATTAATTTGGGATTTGTATGATATTGGTAAGGGCGGGACTTCATTCCATTTTTTAGATCTCATTCACATGTTTCACTGCAGTGCTTGTTTTATTCATCAGCATTACTTAAATTCATCAGGAGGTTCATACCATATTTAAAAAAATTAGCTGAAATGTGTGAAAGACCTAAATGTAAGAGCCAAAACTATAAAACCTTAAGAAGAAAACAAAAGTGAATCATTAAGACCATGAGTTTGGTGGTTTCCTAGATATAACTTCACAAGCATAAGCGACAGAGGAAAAGACAAATTTTGGGATTCACCGAAATTTAAAACATTTATATTTTTAAGGCTACTATCAAGAAAATAAAAACCTAGAGTCCTAGAAAATACTTGCAAATTATATATACGATAAGGAACTTAATATAGAATGCATGAAGAACTCTTACAACTCAGCAATAGAAAGGCAACCCAGTTTAAAAATGGCAAAAAATCTGTAGACAGTTCTCCAAAGGAGATACGCACATGTCCAATACGTACATAAAATATGTTCGACATTGGCAAATCAAAACCACAGTGAGATATGTCACACTCAGTAGAATGCTTATAAATCAGAAAGACAGGTGATAGTAGTGTTGATGAGGATGTGGAGAAATTAGAACCTTGTGCATTGATGGTATGAATATAAACTGGTGCAGGTGTTTTAGAAAATAGTCTGGCAATTCCTAAAAATGTTAAACATAGAGGTTTTTGACCCACTAGTTGTACTCTTGGGGAAAAATGAAAATATGTTAACACAAACTTTACGTGAATGTTTATGGCATTATTCATCATAGCCAAAAAGTCAACTCAAATCCATTAACAAATGTATAAACACAATGGTGTATCTATACAATTGAATATTATTCAGCAATAAATAATAATACATGCTACCATGTGAATGAAACTTGGCAAACACCCATAACAGGTCATGTATTGTTCAGTTACTTGTATATAAAATACTCAGAATAGGCAAATTAATAAAGATACCAAGTAGATTACTGATTGCTGCAGAGATAGGGAGGATTGGAGTGATAACTAAAGGGTAGGGAGTTTGTTTCTGGTGGGATGAAATTTTTTTAAAAAACTAAATTTTCAAGGATGAAAATGAAACCAAATATAAGTACAGAAAGAAATGCTAAATCAGATCTGAGGGATAGGTAGCAAAGAGATACAAAAGATGGAAAGTACTACATGCGTTTTCTTAAGAACTGTTGAGGCCTGTTTTTTTACCTATTGCTTTATATAATGTACTTACTTGTAAGTTTCTTCTCGTGCTGTATTATTGGATCACTCTAAGGCATCTTCTGTGAGCTATTAAATACCCACTGTGTTTGTAGCTGTGCTACATAGTCTATTGAGGGACACAGAAATGTAATATAAAATATTTCTTCCATCTTGAGAATTTGGAGTTCTCGTTACCTAAAATAGTAGCAAAAAGTATAAGGTACACAGTCCTGACAAATGTTTGATAAGTGAATGCTCAGTTATGTGTCATGTTTCCAGGACAAGGGTCATACATAAGTAGAAAAAAAGCTTCATTTGGAAACTAGACAACTAAGTACAGGGTTTTATAAGTCTGATAACTTGAGAACCAGGAAGAGAATTTTTTTAAAGCAGCAGTAAAAAGAAGGGGAAGGCTATATATTATCAGTTTTTTACTCAAGGATAATATTCCTAATATCTTCTTGTCAGCAGTTAAAAGAGTTGCTAGAAATTAGGAGTTTTCTTGAGGATAGGAAAGGGAAAGGTACATGGTTTACAGGTGTTTATTTAATTGTTTAGCTCAAAACAGTATCATAAAACAATCTTTCATTTTTCTGTGTTTTTGAGACAGGGTCTCTCTCTGTTGCCCAGGCTGGAGTGCAGTGGCCCTATCACAGCTCACTGCAGCCTCAACCTCCCCAGATTCAGGTGATTTTCCTACCTCTGCCTCCTGAGTAGCTGGGACTGCAGGCATGCACCACCACATCCAGCTAATCTTTTGTGTTTTTTGTAGAGATGGAGTTTTACCATGTTGCCTAGGCTGGTCCTTAACCCCTGGGCTCAAGCTTTCCCCCCATAGGTGCTGGGATTACAGGCATGAGCCATCACACCTGGCCACATCTTTCATTGTTAGAATCATCTATAATGTGTCAGCATTTATAAGATCACACTGTATTTTAAAACCTAGTTTGCACATTTGTGCTTCTAGAGAGAGACGACGACGCAGAAGCAGGAGTGGAACAAGATCCCCTAAAAAGCCTCGGTCTCCTAAAAGAAAATTGTCTCGCTCACCATCCCCTAGGAGGTAAGAATGTTAATATTTAACTGTATTTTTTATATTTTTCAGAGGTTTTAGTTTTAAAACTGCCCTGTTGTTTTTCTTTTCAGCAGTTACAGTTCTTAAGAATGTTTTAATAATGTATTCTCTCTTTCTGAACTGCAACTTAAACACTGTTAGGGATTGAACATTTTAGTCCTTGTAACCAAGTTCATTTTGTAGCCTATGTTACTTGTGTACTTTGATCGTCCAAGGTTTTGAAGTTGGATCTTTGCCGTACTATGTATAACCTGTGAAGTTGGGTCAGGCTCATCATCTAAACAAGTTAAACCTGTTGCTGCACATTTTACTGTCATTCTAGACATAAAAAGGAGAAGAAGAAAGATAAAGACAAAGAAAGAAGTAGGGATGAAAGAGAACGATCAACCAGCAAGAAGAAGAAAAGTAAAGATAAGGAAAAGGACCGGGAAAGAAAATCAGAGAGTGATAAAGATGTAAAAGTATGTTTACAAATTGATTTATTTTGATATTTGTGTTGATGTTGGTACTTTCAGGAGTTATTTTTCTATGAAGAAGTTTACTTTTATTATTCTCCTTGGCAAAGCAGGTTACACGGGATTATGATGAAGAGGAACAGGGGTATGACAGTGAGAAAGAGAAAAAAGAAGAGAAGAAACCAACAGAAACAGGTTCCCCTAAAACAAAGGAATGTTCTGTGGAAAAGGGAACTGGCGATTCACTAAGAGAATCCAAAGTGAATGGGGATGATCATCATGAAGAAGACATGGATATGAGTGACTAGAGTATTGCCTCTGTGGGAATCCAACTGTATACTTGCATCAGTGTCATTCCTTTGTGTAATTTCTTAATGCTGTATTTGTTCATCTCAAATCTAGATGTATACAGCTCTGAGTTATAAATGGTTATAAAGCTCCTGTTACTGATATTAGTTATTTACATCAAAAAGCTTTTAGAAAATGGTACGAGGTAACCAATTCTTGTCATGGTGAAATCTGATTGAGTAACCAAGCAGTTTTACTATTCTGGTGCTGCTTCATAACAAAAATGAAAAGCTGCATGCGTCTACAGCAGGCATGGGTTGTTTATGTCGTATGATCTCCCTTATTAAGTAAGTTCACTTATAGTATTTCTATAATTTGATTCATTGCCGTAATAGAGCCATGTAGGAAATGCACTGATTGCATGTTATTGTGGCAAGAATATCCTAAATGTCATTAAAATCCTTCAACATGATGGATCTACTTATGGTCTTGTTTGTTGACATGACAAATTAACATTCTTACAGTTACATCTGGAAATGAGCATTTGAAATAGATAATCCTTTAAGCTTTGTGGCAAAATTTTTGTGGCTTTTGTTTAACTTTGAAAGGTTATTATGCACTAACCTTTTTTGGTGGCTAATTAGGGTTTAAATATAGAGACAAGATTTCAAATAAAACTGTCTTTGGCAGTGAGTAAATAGCAGCATATCTTGAAGTACAGTTGTATACGTTTTCATAAGATGTTTGGGAATTTTTTTTCCTGAAGTTAATAATTTATTCCATATCTACATCAATGAAAGTTATCTACCTATCCGAAGTCCATCTTAAAGGGGAAAGAAAAAAAAATCTCTTGCCCTTATTTTGAATTTTCAGTAATTTGTTTTAAGCGCAATGTTGGAAAAAAGGGGTAGTGCATTTTAAATTGACCTTCATATGCTTTTAAAATAAGACAGATCTACTTGATAATGTACCTTTTATTTGATCTCAAGTTGTATAAAACCAATAAATTTGTGTTACTGCAGTAGTAATCTTATGCACACAGTGATTTCATGTTATATATGCAAAGTAGTTAGGCAACTGTTTTCTTAGTTACAGAAGTTTCAAGCTTCACTTTTGTGCAGTAAAAACAAAAGTAGGCTACAGTCTGTGCCATGTTGATGTACAGTTTCCGAAATTGTTTTACAAGACTTTGATAATAAAACCCTTAAATTTATGTTCATGTTCCTGTAAAACTGTATTTGTATTTATTTACGCTATTGAATGTATGACATTTACCTCATTCATTTTACAGATTCTTACCCTTTCTGTCCACATGTTTCAGTATAGTAAAAAGAGGAATTCTATCACTGTAGTGATAATTGCCATCAGAATTGTCAAAAATGATTTAATTTCTATCCAAAACAGTCTTTTTCTTAGCTTAGTGTCATTTCTTATTTTTCATGTGGGAATGGGGTTGGATAAAGCAATGAACTTTAGGATAAACAAATAATCCCACCTGTATCTAGCAAATTTATATTTTCAGTGAAATATAGATATTTACCTTCTCTGGAATAGTATAGAAGCTGTCAATGATATGTATCTACTGTACAGTACTAAATAGTATATTCATTTATGAAATGAGTAGTGTTTGGGTGGCTGGGGTGAAGGGAAAATGAGACTTGGAATTGTAGCTTTTATCCAAGTTTTGAGTATAAATAGGGTTTTTTTTTAAACTTAAAAAATTGAAATGCCATATAGAAAAGCAGCATTGTTTTTACAGTTTGTAGTAACTTTTTAAAGATTTTATCAAAAGGAATTTTGTCTGTAGTGAGTAGAAGAAGTTCTAATAATGGTCCTTATCACTGCATTTTTGAAAACAATTCAACACTAACGACATTTTAAACTTTTTTTAAAAGGTGAACCACTTTTGTAAGTTAAAAACAAATTTCACATGGGAAACTTAACATTCACAGTCTGTTCCCTCACTCATAATCTCTAAATACAAATATACTAACTTTTCTAAAGGGAATAATTTTTTTTTAAAGTATTGCCACTGACAAGATGCTGCAGTGAAGATTATTCATTCTTAGGATATTTATTTTCAGTGAACATTTTCTGCACAAAGGCAGTGTTTTACTGGGACACAAGCCTTTTAACATAACCAGTCGAAATCAAACACTGCCTCCACACTTGAGTTCTGTTCTGTATTTGATAGTAAATTGATTTAAAAATAAAAATGTTTTTTGTTAGAAAAATGTTTTGTCCTTATTTATTTGCTTAAATTCTTTAGGAGTGAATGAGAGGTGGTAGCTATACAATGAGCTTGAAGATTGAAGTCCAGTCATGCGTTTGGTCTTTATTTCATAGAGCTGGGGATAACTGTTTCTTACCTTGAGTTTCCTATGAGTAAAATGAAAGTGATTGCTACCTTGCAAAGTACAGACATAACTCAAGAGTTATTGTGGGTTTAGTTCCAGACAACTGCAGTAAAGCCGGTCAGTAATTTTTTTGGCTTCCCAGTGCATATAAAAGTTGTTGGTGCTGGCTGGTCAGTGTAGCTCGTGCCTGTAATCTTAACACTAAAGGAGGCCAAGGCAGGAGGAGTGCTTGAGCCCAGGACCAGCCTAGGCAACATAGCAAGATCCTGTCTACAAAAATAAATAGCCAGACATGGTGGTGCACACCTGTAGTTCTAGCTACTGTGGAGGATGAGGCAGGAGTATCACTTGAACCTAAGGAGTTGAGGCTGCAATGAGCTATGATCAGTTTGAATAACAGCAAGACCCCATCTGTATCTGAAGAAAGTTATTTTAAAAATGTAGCCCTTTAGCCATGCATGGCTGCACCTGTCTGTAGTCCCAGCTACTTGGGAGTCTGAGGCAGGAGAATCAAACCCAGGAGGCAGAGGTTACAGTGAGCTGAGCGACAGAGGGAGACTCCATCTCAAAAAAAGTGGCCTTTGCTGCCTGGGACAGTAAATTATAGCTGCTATTTGATTATTGAGCTCTTAAAAAACTATGTAGTTAATAATTTGTGTAGGGGGTAATGTTAAAATAAATTGCATACCTTTTATTGAAAAGGCTGTGTTGCCCTTGTTTTTGTGAAGATGGTCTTAGGTTAAGTTTCCTAGTGGCAATTCTATACATCGAAGATAGAGTAATGTGAATAGGCACTTGGGAAAGGAATGAAAGGAGGGAGAGGATAAAAATTGCTGTTAACCTTGGAGCTACATCTTAAAACTGAGTTCGTTTCTGGTGTGTGCATTATATAGCTTATGTCATACAGATCAGAGTATTATTCAATACATCAAATTTATCTCTAGCAAAATAATCACTTTCAGTTGGGCACCAGATGAAGGGTTGGATCCATGCATGCTGTTTGTAGATTGATAAACATCTTTTCAAATGGAATTGAGATTTCCGTCAGTCAGCTTCAAAACCACCTAATGCATTTCATCCCTGTGCTGCTTAAAATATTTTTTTCTGGCCGGGCGCGGTGGCTCAAACCTGTAATCCCAGCACTGTGGGAGGCCGAGGCGGGTGGATCACGAGGTCAAGAGATCGAGACCATCCTGGTCAACATGGTGAAACCCCGTCTCTACTAAAACTACAAAAAATTAGCTGGGCATGGTGGCGCGTGCCTGTAATCCCAGCTACTCAGGAGGCTGGGGCAGGAGAATTGCCTGAACCCGGGAGGCGGAGGTTGCGGTGAGCCGAGATCGCGCCATTGCACTCCAGCCTGGGTAACAAGAGCGAAACTCCGTCTCAAAAAAAAAAAAAAAAAAAAAAAATATTTTTTTCTAATCAAGTACATGTAGTTGTGTTTTAATTAAATATGGATGTAATGGCATTGTTACTGGTACTTTTAAAAACATTCAGAATATCTATTAAAGTTTTATTAGCAGAAGTAGTAATTATACCTTTCTAAATTTCTCGAGACAATTTTTGGAGCTGTAGATATATCAAATTTCAATCTTTGTTTTTATTCCCATTTTCATTTTATGTCAAAGTATATGTGAAATTTATTTAGACATTCTTAGCAAAATATGTTAAGTGAGTACCATGACAATTCTTTATTCTTTAGAATACGCTTAGGTGTGTCACAGAAGATGGTTAGAGTCTTTTTTTTTTTTTTTTTTTTTTGAGACGGAGTCTCACTTTGTCCCCTAGGCTGGAGTGCAGTGGCGCAATCTCAGCTCACTGTAACCTCCGCCTCCCAGGTTCAAACAATTCTCCTGCTTCAGCCTCCTGAGTAGCTGGGATTACAGGCATGTGCCACCATGCCCAGATAATTTTTTTTTTTTTTTTTTTGAGACGGAGTCTCACTTTGTCCCCTAGGCTGGAGTGCAGTGGCGCAATCTCAGCTCACTGTAACCTCCGCCTCCCGGGTTCAAGCGATTCTCCTGCCTCAGCCTCCTGAGTAGCTAGGATTACAGGCATATGCCACCATGCCTGGCTAATTTTTTGTACTTTTAGTAAAGAAAGATTTCACCACGTTGGCCAGGCTGGTCTCGAACTCCTGACCTCGTGAGCCACCGTGCCAGGTCTAATTTTTTTATTTTTAGTAGAGATGGGGCTTCACTATGTTGGCCAGAATGGTCTCCCCCTACCTGACCTTGTGATCCACCCCCTCAGCCTCTCAAAGTGCTGGGATTACAGGCTTGAGCCACTGCACCTGGCCGGTGTTTAGCAGTCCTAAGACAATTTACAGAGACTGATATGACTGATATTTTTACATGACCAATAACAAAATAATGGATCATTCTCAGATTTCTCAATTTATTAATGGTTATTTTTGCAATGCACTGTCACTAAAATTATTACCATGATGTCTTTCTTTTTTTTATTATTTAAAAAAAGGTAGTTAGGGCTGGGCACAGTGGCTCATGCCTATAATACCAGCACTTTGGGAGGCCAAGGGGGTTGGATCACTTGAGGTCAGGAGTTTGAGACCAGCCTGGCCAACATGGTGAAACCCCATCTGTACTAAAAATAAAAATTATCCGCATGTCGTGGTGCATACCTGTAATCCCAGCTACTCGGGAGGCTGAGGCAGGAGAATCTCTTGACTCAGGAGGCCAAAGTTGCAGTGAGCCGAGATCATGCCACTGCATTCCAGCCTGGGCGACAGAGAAAGACTCTTGTCTCAGTAAATAAATAAAGCTAGTTTGCTAAAATATTGTTTGTGCATGAGAAATTGAAGGTCTAGGGTCACAAGTTAAAGAATGAAATGTTCCAAATGATGTTTAATATCATTCATGTTCAGTTATCCCAAGATGTAATTTAAAAATTTTCTGATGGGCATGGCACCTCACACCTGTAATCCCAGCATTTTGGGAGGCCCAGCCTGGCAGATTGCTTGAGCCCAGAAATTCAAGACCAGCCTGGACAACATGGTAAAAACCCTGTCTCAAAAAACTAGACAAATTAGCCAGGCATGGTGGCACAGACCTGTAGTCCCAGCTACCTGAGAGGCTGAGGTGGGAGGATTGCTTGAGCCTAGGAGGCAAGGTTGCAGTCAGCTAAGATTGCATCACTGCACTCCAGCCAAGGTGACAGGCTGTCTCAAAAAAAAAAATAAATTGGTTGAACTTTCTGCAGATAACACTAAATGTAATTTTGACACTATACTAAACGTAAAACCTTTTCTTATTAACTAAGTTGACAAAATTAAAGTGTGTTCATTTAAAGATTTTGGCAGACAAGCATCAAGTAGATTAAGAACATTTTTATCTTTCCACAAAATTAATACATCAGTCAGGATTCAGAGAAGCAGAACCACTAGAAGATACACTTTTTAACAGAGATATGACATCAACAATTGTGAGACCTAGTTAAGCAATCTGTAAGGCTTCATCTTTGCATCTGATGCTGGAAGTTGAAGTGCACAGGCAGTTGAAAAGCAAAGATGAATGATTGGGGGAGGGATGGTGACATTAAGAATGAGCTGGAACCAGCCACAAGCACAAGGTAGACCTCACAAACAAGGACTGAAACTCTGGTCAGGTCTTGTTGCTTCTGACTTTGGTGGCATAGATGTCCTTCCAAAGCCAGGACACTTCATCATGGAGCAAAATATATCTGGTCCAGAAGTCTGAGAAGCTGAAGGAGGATCTGGGGACAGTGGGACAACTGCAGGCCCAACCGCTGCCTCATCCCAAAGGGGCAGCAGATAAGCCACAATGTGTGTGAGCTACAAAATTTGTTTCACGCACGGCCGGGCACAGTGGCTCACGCCTACAGTCCCAGCATTT